GCCGGTGGCGGCTGGGCCCCACCACGGGGGCATTGCCACACTGCCACGATCCTGTCACGTTTCTGCAGAAGGGACGGCTCCGGAGCCTCGGGGCTCCTCCAGGTAAGACGGGATCGAGCTCTAACTCTGCTTTTCTTCTTCCTCCTCCCTTTGTGTGCTGCTTCTTTTCGCTTTTGTCCAAAGCCCTTTGTTTTTCTCCCCTTTTCCTGCCCCAGTTTTGCCAGTCCCTCCTCACCCACACTGCCACGATCCTGTCACGTTTCTGCAGAAGGGACGGCTCCGGAGCCTCGGGGCTCCTCCAGGTAAGACGGGATCGAGCTCTAACTCTGCTTTTCTTCTTCCTCCTCCCTTTGTGTGCTGCTTCTTTTCGCTTTTGTCCAAAGCCCTTTGTTTTTCTCCCCTTTTCCTGCCCCAGTTTTGCCAGTCCCTCCTCACCCCTGCAGCAGGAGCAGGCAGAGCACTGCAGGGGCATTCGTGGCAGCACCTGGACAAGGTACGTTTGCAGTGGGATGTCCCAGGGTGCCCGGGCACAGAGGGTCCTTGGCCCCGCTGTGCCCCGGAGAGCTGCAGCTGTGAAGTCCCCAATTCTTCGGCTGCATCAGGGCACGGGGCTGCCGGCAGCGGAGGAGCATGGCAGGGGCAAGGGAGGGGAAGCGGGTGGGAAAAGGAGGGGAAAAAGCTTCCCAGTGGGGCTGCTGTGAAGCAGCTGGCAGTTGTTCTTGGGAGCTTCGTTCCCCTCGGTGCTGCAGCTGACACCTACCTGCGCGGCTGGTGAGTCCTCGCTCATCGGTGCCGTCTCGGTGGCAGCAAGGCAATAAGGGATCGTCACTGTGTCTCAGCGGTGAAGGCTGGCTGAGGTCCCGCCGTGCCCGTGCCCATCCTGGGCATCTGCCTGCCCTGCTGCCCACTGCTCTGCCAGGGCGAGTCGGGGCGATGCAGTTAGGGCTGCAGGGAGCCGGTGCGCGGTGCAGCCGAGGAATGCAGACAGCTTGACACGATGGTGCAGATAATTCAAATTAAATTTTAATCTAGCATGAATTAATACTGTGGCATTAACATTTCTTCATCAGTACCAATTATGGTACATTAGCAGATACTGCTGGAGAATACAATAGCCTCTAATATGCGTCATTAATGTGTAACAGATCCCACTGGGTCATACCTTTCCACCCCAGATAAAAGCAGCCAAGGAGGCAGGCGGGTGCTTGCTGCCAGCGCACCCCTTGGGGGTTGGCTCTCACTCCCAGGGCCGTCATGGTCCTGGTGGCACCGCGGTCCCGTGGCACTGCAGCTGGGGCCAGCACCAGCCCCTCCAGCCTCACCCAGGGGGGGTTCTGGAGCGGCACGGGGCACTGCCACCGGCACAGCCCCTCTCCCAGCCATTGCATAGTGTGTTCAGCCCTTCCTGGCCTCATCCACGGAGGTGAGAGGCTCTGGTGCGGCTCCCGGCAGGCTGAAGGACGGTGATCGTGGCTTGCAGGTAGGCTTGCACCTGAAATCTGGCTTTTTCTCCTGCCCTCCTGCTGCACCAGCCGAGCAGAAGCGGTGGCTGGGAGGGAGGGGAGCCGGGGCTGCCCGGTTGCAGCATGCAGCACCTGGGTGATTCTGTGCTGGGTGATGGCATCCCCCTGTCCCCTTTCTGCTGGCGGCTCCGATCGCAGTGCTTTTCTTCCCCAAGACCAAGGGGGAGCACCGGTGATTCATCCCCTCCGCGCCACACAAACGCAGCGATCACAATATTGCAGAGAAACTCAACGCTAAAGAAAAAAGGGGCTTTTCTTTCCAACAGTGTGGAAGGAGCAATGGAGGAGATGGGACGGGATGGGATGGGATGGGACAGGATGGGATGGGATGGGATGGGACGGGAGGGTGGTCCCTGCCCCAGGGACCTCAGTGGCCCTGGGGGCCTGGCCGTGGCTCAGGGCTTGTGCAAAGGAACGGGCTGTGGTCAGGGTAAGGGATCGCGTCCCATGGCATCCCCGCGGGTCACTCCTGTCCCCTTCTCTCCCTGCCTGGGACCCAGGAGCAGCACCCAGAGGTGAGTCGCGCGGGCACAGGTCCCGGTGCATGTCCCCAGGAGCAGCCATGCAGGTGGAGGCAGTAGGTGCCCCCCCTGAGGGTGCCAGGGGGGTGGCGATGGGCTCCCCGGGGCCGGCGTGGGGAAGGTGACGGGCTCTCTGCTGTCTCGCCCTCCCCAGGCAGCGGCTGCGGGGTGAGATGGTGGCGCAGCTCGCTGGCGCTGTCACTGGCGCTCTGCCTCTCCCTGGCTGCGGCGGCGTCCCCCGACTGCGCAACGGCATGGCCCAGACCCGCAGCACCGAGAGCAGCGTCCGGTCCCTGGTGAGTGCCAGCCCCACGCAGCCGTTAGCCGGGGGGTCACAGCAGCGGGAGGGTCGCGGGTACCGGTGCACGGTCGGCAGAGGTGGGTGCTGCCGGGGCGGTGGTCATGGGCACCCCCAGGGTGCTGGGAATGTGCAAGCTTCGGCTCCTCGCTGAGCTTCGCAGCACAGTGGTTGTGGACCCCTGGGCTTGGGGTCGGGGCACCCCCTGGGTGGGGTGGGAGGAAGGTGGGGGGGTCACCCCGAGCAGCAGGGTGATGCCAGCGGGCGTCCCGGGGCCGCTGCGGCCGCTGCCTTGCAGATATGCCTGCAGGAGTGCCAGGGCTCCTCACCGCCTGGCCCCGAGTGGGAGATGTGCAGGAAGGCACTGGCTCTGCTGGCCCCGCTGGTGGTCCTGGCCGAAGGGACAGACCCATCCCCTCGGGAGGCGGAGGATGAGGCAGAGCCGGAGCAGGAGCTGGGTCCTGGGGAGCTGCCGCAGGCGCCGGCCAAGCGCTACGGGGGTTTCATGAAGAAGATGGCCAAGGGGAAGCTGCTCTCCCTGCTGCGCGAGAACGCCCACAGCAAGGGCGGCCTCAGCAAGAAGTTCGGGGGCTTCGGCCGCAAGCCAGGGGAGCGGGCGGCCCCCGAGGACTACCCGGGGCTGGGGCCGGCGGGTGACGGGGGCGAGGAGCCCACGGGTGCCGGGGCCGAGGGGCAGGAGCTGGCGGAGCTGCACAAGCGTTACGGCGGCTTCATGCGCCGGATCCGGCCCAAGCTCAAGTGGGACAATCAGAAGCGCTATGGGGGCTTCCTGCGGCGGCAGTTCAAGGTGACCATGCGGTCGGACGAGGACCCCAGCGCCTACTCGGGGGAGGTCTCGGATCTATAGAGCCAGGCATGGGACGGGCGGCACCACGGTCCCCATGCTGCCGGCCCGGATTGCGCCGTCACCCCCAGCCCCTGCCCAGCCTGGCATCATCCCTGCCTCGTCCCCCCAGCAGACCATGGGTGCCCGTCCCCAGTTGTCCCTCTCTGGTTCACCTGCCCTTCCCTTACATTCCCCATGCATCAAGGGGACAGTGCCACCCCTCCGGCTGCGGGTCCAACCCCTGGGGTCCCTGGGGCAAATCGAGGAGGGGGGGAACACGCATCCTCCACCCTCCTGCAGCCACAGAAGCGCAACAGGGTCTGGAAACCATCACAGCTGCTATACGGGGCAATGGTCTCTGAGCACCGGGAAGGATGAGCTGGGGCAGGATGAGGCCCTCTGGGCTGGGAGGTGGCCCAAGCAGCCAGCACAGCCACGGGAGAGGCGGCTGGGCAGAGTTCACACCGCAGCACCGTCACCGGGGCAGGCAGCCAGCTGAGCACAATCCCAGCTCCCCTCTCCGAGCTGTTTGCCGTGTCCCACACGTCCCAGCACCCGCCTGGTCCCCCTGGGCTTCCCCTTCCGAGAACAACCCGCAGAGGCAGGGTCAGACCCACACCCTGGCCCCTGCTCCCCCCGCAGCCAATAAAAGGCAGATGCCAACGAAGCCGAAGCTGTGCCGGGTGCTGAGCGTCAGCTTCGTCTGCGGTCCAGGGCTCCACGGGGCAGATCAAGCCCTCGGCATGAGGGGACCACACACCCCAAGCTGTGGTGAAGCCGAAGCTGTGCTGGGTGCTGAGCGTCAGCTTCGTCTGCGGTCCAGGGCTCCACGGGGCAGATCAAGCCCTCGGCATGAGGGGACCACACACCCCAAGCTGTGGCCTGGGGGGAAAGGCTGGAGGGCCATGGGTGCCCAGGGCTGGGGTGCAGGAGTGCTGGCTGCAAGACCTGCAGGCAGCAGCAGCGGTACCCTCCCCGCACCATGGGTGCCAAAGGGGATGTGGGACCCCATGCGCCCCATTGCTGCTGCCCCTGGAGCCATGCCCCGGGGGAGGCAGGGCCCCCCTAGCCGAGCAAGGGCAGGGCAGGGCTGCTCAGCCTGGCCCGGGTGCACGTGGGGTGCTGGCAGGGGACCTCCCGCAGCACAGGAGGCCCCAGCCGGGAAGTGGCAGCCATGCCGAGGGCCGTGGCCAAGCTGTCCCCTTCCCGCTCAGGGCCCCCCTAGCCGAGCAAGGGCAGGGCAGGGCTGCTCAGCCTGGCCCGGGTGCACGTGGGGTGCTGGCAGGGGACCTCCCGCAGCACAGGAGGTCCCAGCCGGGAAGTGGCAGCCATGCCGAGGGCCGTGGCCAAGCTGTCCCCTTCCCGCTCACGCTCTGAGGACAGCGTGAGCCCGCCGGCAGCAGCTCAGTGCTGAGAAAGCCCAGCCTGGGCAGCAAATTCCCTTTTGAACTTCTCCTTTGTAGCCTCGCCCTCTGCATTGCTCATCACCACAGGAAGACTCGTGCCAAGGCTCCCAGCGAGACACAGCTTGTGTGCCAGACACAGCCGAGGCACCAGCTCTGGGGTGGGAAAGGGGGGAAGTCACTGCAGAGCACTGGCACACTCAGCTCACCCACGACACAGGCTGCAGCTAGCACCCAGCCTGCCTGCCTGCACCCCAGTTTGGGCACCCCAGCTCCAGCTCACCTCCCGTGGAAGGGGGCACCCAAGGATACAGCAGGGCTGCCTGGGGAGAGCTGGCCCAGACCCTGGTCTCTCCTCCCCTCCCTCATGCTGCCCAGAAGGACCATTGCCATAGCCCCCATCTCAGCCTCAACCTCCTGCTGCTGCTGCCATCTTCCTCCTCTTCCTCTCTCATCCTTCCTCGCAGGGCTGTGCAGGATGAGCCCCCCCTCCCCTTGCTGCAGGACATGCTGACCCCCACCCTACCTTGCACCCCCAGGGCAGATGATGAGGTGACCACCCTGAGCACAGGGACACACTGATGTGCAGGAGCAGCACAGGACTTTTCACTTTTATTATAAAAATATCTTGCAAGCAAAAAAGAAAAAAAAAAAATAGTCTGTACAAGCAGTCACATCATTCTCAAAGCATCACCAGGCCCCCCCAGCCCCCCGCCAGCAGCTGTGGGGGGCCAGCCCCATGCGTGCCCGCTGCTGCAAGGCCACCCAGGTGCTGCAGGAGCCAACACAGGGTGGTGGACCCACGCGGTGTCCCAGGGAAGGGGCACATGGAAGACACTTGTCCTCGTGGGTGGGCTGGGAGGAGCCTGCCTGACCCCCACAGCAGCGCTGGTGGGGGGGGGCGCGTAAGTCTCTTTTAAACTCTACGGGGTTTAGGGATCTTTAGTGAGGCCTCGGTCTTAATTTTGCACATCTTATTCTAGTGTTAAGTACACAGCAGTACACCCACGTACAACACAAAACATTGGGTTTTAGCTCTAAAATTAACAGTTACATGTCAAACAGTCAAAACATGTTACACGGTACCTGCAGGGAGCTCCCGGGGGAGCCGGGCTGGCGGGGGCATCTGCAGCCCGGCCAGCGTGGAGCTGCACGCTTTGTACAAGCCTGGGGCAGCGCCGGTGGGTCCCGGTCCGGGCAAGGCTGTATGGAGGAGGAGGAGGAGGAGGAGGAAGAAGAGGAGGAGGATGCTCGGTGCCGGGGAGCCGTTCCGGAGCCTCCCTGGGTGGCAGGACAGGGGAAAGCCCGCAGCAGGGGGACTTGGCTCGCCGGCCTTCCCAGCCTCATTGGCCTTGGTGCGAGACCAAGGTCCCGCAGAAGGGACACTTGGGAAGAGAGAGGCAGACACTTAGGTCCTTCCTTTAAAGCCAGAGTTTGTTTTCTAGGCGCTGGCGGCAGAGACCCCCAGAAGGCAGCGCGGGGGCTCTGGCCAGTCCCTGCAGGGTTGGGGCGGCTATAGGAAGCCGTGCAAGCCTGGCCGGGCAGCGGCATCCCCATGGGAGCTGGCGTGGAGGCACTGTCCCCATCCCCTCAGCCCGGCTGGAGCTTCCTGAGGAGCCGCTGCTCTGCTGACTTAACCCACGTGTGGGCAAAGCCGGCACACCGAGGCCGAGCAGCCCCCGCGGGATGGAGCCAGCAGCCCCAGGGACCAAGCTGCCTCCAAAAATCAGGTCTCTGGATGGGAGCTGATCCCCACAGTAACACGGGCTGCATTTCTACCCCAAAACAGGGGTACCGCAGCGCATCTTCACATCACTCCCAGTGCTTCCAATAAAATCCTCCCGGGGAGGAGCAGGGGGGCTCCCCGCTGGGCAGGGGGTCCCGGCAGCCGTTGCAGCCCTGCTCACTTCCTCGGGATCTGGACGCTGGCGTACTCGGAGCTGGCCTCCTCAGGGCATGGGGCCGGACGCCTGGGTGCCTTGCTGAGGTGCACCATGTCCAGGTCGGCATAGGTGAGGTTGTCGTCGCCGGCAGGCGCCCGGCTGGTCTGGATGCAGGCGTACTCTGACTGCTGGCTCATCTCCACCATCCGGCGGATGGTCTTCCTCTCTCTGTCGAAGTTCAGGTCCGCGTAGGTCAGGTTGTTGGGGTCGGATTCCTGCGTGAGACACCAAGAGTTCCTCCTCTGGGAGGATGAGCAAGGACCCCCCCCCCGCCCACGCACCAAACCAAAGCCCCACGCTGAAATCAATCCTGCTGCAGCTCGACCCGGGACAGCTCGGTCTCTGCTTGTACAGGGGCAACGATGCCAGCAGCTGGCCGGGACGATCCTGCAGCAATGCTTTACCCTGTGCTACACCTTCAAATCACCAGCCACCGCTGCCACTGACAGGCTTCAGAGCCACCGCCGCGATTCAAGAGCCACCACTGCAGCTGCCCCGTCACCCCATCCTGGTAGGGATGGGCAGGGGCTAGCCTGCCCAGCGACGCCCGCATGGGAGCTGGCAGAGGCTGGGTGGGATGGACAGATTGCTGCTGATCACGACTTTGCTCGTAACTGTGTCACCAAGTGCAAAAATAACTCCACAAATAGCCTGGTTGGCTATCACACAGCTGGTTCTCCAGGCAGCACAAACCCAGACTTTCCTGGGGGGAGGAGGAGAAGGAGGAGGAGGAGGAGGAGAGAGTGCGAAGGCAGAAGAGATGCTGGAAAGTGGCTACCCCGTCCCTGGGGCAGCTTCTCTTCCCTCTCCAGCCACAGTGTGGAGACACTGAGACGTTTCACAGGGGAACCACCACCCTCCACTGGAGACACCGAGATGTTTCACAGAGGAACCACCACCCTCCACTCCCACGTCTGGTGCTCTCCCCTCCCCGGGTCCCGGGGTTAAGCGACACACCTGGGTAGTGGCCTCACTGCTCTTCTCCGGCTCATGTAACCTGAAAGGGGGAACAAAACAAGTCAGATCGACCAAGTGCCCTGTTGCCTCCTCCCTAGTGATGGAGCAGTGGGGGATTCAGATGCAAAACAAGGTCCTCGCAGCAGCCCCGAGCAGGATGAGTCCTCACCAAGCGAGCGTTTGCTCACGTGCTGGTCCAGCTACATCTCTGCAGGCTGGAGACCTGGCTCCCACCCGCTTGTTCAGCCTCACCAAAAGCCAAGTGTTTGGGTACAAGATCACTGTGGGGGCAGAACCACAACCAGGGAGATCAGCAGAGCCTGGGCTCCTGCCTTCTGTTTCACAACAAGCTTTTGGGGATCCAGCTCTGTCCCGATCCCAAGGGACCTCGTTTGCAGGCTGGAGGTGTCCAGCTCAGAGTGCCCACAGGTTACTCGGTGACTAGAGGAGATCAGCACTTACCTAGCAGATGGCGAGCTTTTACCTGCCAGAAGAGAAATAGTTTAGGAAAAAAAAATAGTTCAGGAAACAACATAACCCCCCCCGCTTCCCCGGGCACAGGAGCCCACATGCAGAGACTGCTGCAAGAGCAGATACACGTCTTTTCCCAGAGGCAAGTGCCTGCAGTTTTCTGGAGTTTCACTCCATTTACTGCAGGACCGTTCCTGGCAGAGGGCAGGAGGTGCAGGGGGGTGTCAGACATTTTAGGTCCAGGAACAACCACCACGTTTGACTCTGCTCCTGGCAGGCATTGGCACGCAGCGGCAATCAGGCAGAGCTTTCCCTGCAGCCTGCAAACAACCCGGTCAGCTCTGCTCCGTCCTCCCCTTTGGGCAGGAGCTGCAGCAGCACAGCCGTGAATTCAGTGCCCAAGCCCTGATGCTCGAGGGAGAGGGAGAAGGGGGTCAGGAGCAGCTGCTTCCCTGCCGTGCACTTGGTTTCCTTACCCTTGCTCTGCTTTGCCCGGATGAGGTAAAGAATTGCAGTCACCAGCAGTGCCAGCACAGTGCAGACCACTCCCACCACAATATAGATGAGGAGCAAATTGTCTGAAACATGAATGAAAAAGGTCACCACAGGCCTGAAAACGCTGGTACCAACCGAGTCCCTGCAGCCTTACAGCTGGGGTTGGCCTGGTGACAGCCAAAGCACCGAGGATGACAGCTCGATACCTGCCAGCATCACACCCCCCTAGCCCCCCAATATGGAGATTTTGTGTCCTTGAACCAGATTCTGGTGGGACTTTGAGCTTTCTCAGGGGGGTGACATCCTAAAGCCTCCCTGGCAGGGACCGCATCCCAGCAGCTCTCACGCACTGTTATCTGTCTGAGACCAGTCGCTCAGTCCATCCCTGGCTGGGGCGGCGATCCGCAGGGCAGCCATCTCGCTGATGGGGTTCTGGGCATCATGCACCACTCGGCAGGTGAACACGGTCCCGTTCTTCTCCTCCGTCGCTTTGACCTCCACCAGGCTCCTCAGCTCGAACAAGCCCTGGGGAGTCTCCACCAGCCGGGAGGTGTTCTCCACCTTCATCTCCGTCCCATTCTCCAGCCAGGTGACGGCCACATCTCCCGGGTAAAACCCGTTCACATGGCAGGTGAAGTTCACGGTCTTGTTCACCTCAATGGGGCTCGGCGGGTCAGCGACCACACGGACACTGGGGGAAACTGGGAAGAGAGGCAGCGCCTGGTGCCTGGCGTCCCCCAGCTCTGCTGCCCACAGAGTGCCCTGTCCCCACCCCAGGACCCCCAGCCCCACAGAAGCTGGACACCCTGAGTTCCAGTGTCGTCCCCCCAGCCCTCACCTCGCAGGGCTTTGCTGAGCTGGTACACCTCCCTCAGCGGGACCGTCAGCGTGGTGTGCTCCACCTCGCAGACGAGCTGCGAGTGGACATCATCCTTCCCCAGCATCATCGTCACAGTGCTGGACATGTTGTAGGAGAGTTTCATCGGGCCAGGGGTGATCTGGGGCTGCTGAGCCGAGATCAAGGCGTTGTTCTTGAGCCATTTCACATGGATGTCTTCGGGAAAGAACCCTCCGGCTGTGCAGGTGACAGACACCGGTTTCCCCGGCCCCACTCTGTGGCCAGGCCCAGACACGACCGGAGGGGTGGGTTTGGCTGTGGGGAGAAGCATGGGGCCATCAGACCGGGCTCTGCCACCTGCGCCCAGCCCCGGGGCTGCAGGGAGCGGGGTCTCCCGTGGGGGCATGGACACACCCGGGGACGGCCCACGGGACCCTCTCCTGGGATCGGCCCCCAAGCCCCTTCCCCATCCCCGCTCGCCCCAAGCAGAGCCCACCAGGCTGGGATGGGGGCTGCGCCCAGCAGGGCTGGTTCCCACCGGGAGCCCCACTCACCACGTACGGACACCTCCGTGCCATTTCCACGCTGAAACACCTCATCACCACCAAGCAGCGATTTCTTGAACTTCACGCAGTAATAGGTGCCGGCATCCTCGGGGCGAACATCCCTGATGTGGATGCTGAAGTCCGTGTCGGACTCGCTCACTACCCTTGTCACGCGGGGGAAGGAGCCCTTCTGCTCGTAGACGGTCTCGTTCCCACTGCCCAGGCCCTTCAGCCACCTCACGGCGCCAGGGAGACCGCCTCCGGACATGGTGCAGGTCAGGTTGAGCGTCTCCCCCGCTGTCACCGACACCTTGTCCTGGGGCTGCTGCACCGC